CAAAGTAAATTTAGTGTAAGTGAAAGAAAAATAAAATTGGCTTGAACAAGGCACAGTGTGAGCAGGCATTATTCAAACTTCCTTACTCATCTCTGCCAATGTATCTCAGGTCTGATCCTACACTCCTGATGTTCTGATTCTGGGCATTTTCTGAACAAAGTCTGCCAACTGTGGTGGTTCTGTGATACTGACAAATCAAATTCTGCTGTAACTCCATTCACTTCGGTGAAATTACACCAACGGTGAATATGGGTGTCTATACACAGAAACCAAGGACAAACTATCAACTTCATTTTTTAGCATTTTAATCTGGGGCCAAATTCACTGCTGACATAAGCAGGTAAACTCCACTGACTTCCAAAGACCACCAGTACTGGAAAACGAAGTCCTTTCTCTATCCATACAGTAAGAATGCAATGGACAGTAAATGTTTAAACTTTCCCACACTAGCTCAGTGCAGACCTGATAGAACCACCATGGCTGATTCAGTCTTTAGCCTCTTTACTGAGACTGCTGTGCCAACTCTGGTGGTATGGGAGATGGACTCCTGTACGCTACAGGAAAGCAGATGAAATAAAAACCAAACAAACCACCATCTTTATCTGAACCATCAAGAAGTGCATGTCCCACCATGTAAATGCACAGTCATATTGTTGTTGCCCTTATCCTGCCCTCCTCCTCTGTTAGTGACGTTTGTCATATCATGACAAATTGTTTAAAGGTCTTCAGCAGAGACTTTGTTTTGGTGTCTAGTACAGTTTGGCATTATTATTATAAATAAAAATAAATAAAACAATAGGAACGCGACTGATTTCATGTAAGTCATTTGATATAAGCCACTCCACAAGTAACATTCATTTTCCAAACACAGAACAAAATATTATTTACAAACAGAACAAAAAGATGGCCCATGCCACAAAGAGTTTACAATCTCATCTATATTATGTTTCCTTTCCCTAGTAAATATTTAATGCATGAAATCACTTAAATTAACAGAATGCACTTCTTTGATTTCTGAAGCAACATATCTCAAATAATCTGTTGAAGGTTTCCACTGCATTGCATTGTGAATTTCTCATTAAAAATGCCCCTCTCTGTTAGTGTAAACTTTATAAATCATTTACATTTAAAGTACTCTTAAATTGCTTTCTTTTATGTTCTCCTGTAAATTAACATTGAAAGATATAATGGTTATAAAAATGTTACACTCCTTAATTAATCTAACAAAAAATAAAATCAGTAAAGCCCTGTGATAAATGAAAGTGGGGGGGGGCACTCCCTTTTATAGCCAGTAGCTATAAAATCCCTCTTAGTAGCTGTTCTCGAATTGCTCTACCTGTAAAGGGTTGAAAAGTCTCACTGCTATGCATAGGTAGAAGGAAGTGAGTGGGCACCTGGCCAAAAGAGCCAATGGGAAGGCTAGAACTTTTAAAAATTAAAACAAGACTCCCCTTTTGTCTGTCTGTTGTCGTTCTCAGGGAGAGGCAGACAGGGAGCAGTTATGCTGTGAGAAGCTTGGGCCAGGTATAAAAAAATATCAGTACCATACCTAGAACTTACTCATCAAAAACTCCAGATATGTAAGTAGATCAGGAAATGTCTAGGAAGACATGATTTATCCCTTTTATTTCTTTATGGCTTGTGGATTCCTCTGTGCTAATCCCAGGTGCTTTTGTTTTGCTTGTAACCTTTAAACTGGACCTCAAGAGAGCTATTCTTGATGCTTAATCCTTGTAATTGTTTTTTTTAATCTAGCAAACACCTAAGTCCCAGATGTATTTTCTTCTTTTTTTTATTAATAAAATTTACCTTTTTTAAGACCAAAATTGGATTTTTGTGTCCTAAGAGGTTGTGCACATGTTTAATTAGCTGGTGGCAACAGCTAATTTCCTTTGTTTTCTTCTCAGCTCTTCCCCTGAGGGTGTGTGTATGAAAGGGCTTGAGGGTACCCCACAGGAAAGATTTGCCAAGTGCGCCTTCCTGGATGGTGGCAGCATCTACAAATCCAAGGTCAGAGAAAAGCAGTAACCTTGGGAGTTTAATACAAACCCGAAGTGGCAAGTATTAATTTTTAGAATCCTTGCGGGCCCCACCTTCTGCACTTGAAGTGCCAGAGTGGTCTTCCATGACAAGCCCTCTCTCCCACAGATATACAATGTATTTGGAGTAATTTTTATCTAAAATTTTAAAATCTAAATATATTGTAAGTGCCTTAACAATAGAGTGCAATGTATATTTATTAACAACTACTTTCTGTTTCCACATGACTTAGCTTTGCCTTCCAGTGGGGTAACGTGCAATCAAATGTTTGAAAAATTTTACAATATTTTGTAGTCTTGATCTGGCAGTTTTTAGTCAGGCAAAATTCCCACTGACTTCATTTGGGAGTTTGGCCTGAGTGAAGACTGGATTGGGCCTGTTATCTAGCAACCAGGGTGTGGGATAATTCATGATACTTTATTTAAATAATTTTATAATTTGAGATCCCATTTTATGCATTATGGGTAAAATTTTCAGAAGCACCTACACCCCATTTACAAACATAGTCTACGTACAAGGGGCGCAGAAGTCAAAAGCAATGGCTCATACATGTCTCATACATCACCCCAAATTGAGGCCAGATCATGAAACACTTCCTCACGCTGGCCATCAGTTATTCCTATTTGAGTGAACATTGTTGTCAGTAATATCTGAGGGACTAGTTGTGTGAATAACTGCTGGCCAATGAGAATAAGGGTGTTGTGATCTGGCCGAGAATAATTACATAGTTTATTTAAACACAGGCTTTTTTGTGCACTTTCAATTGTTTTTGGGTTTCAGGACCAGTCTTACTCTATGATTAGTCCCATTGAAGTCACAGATATTAAGATGTAAGAGTAAGAGGATCAGAATCTGGTGCTATAGCAGTAGTAGTATTTACTTGGTGCAGAAATACTGTTTATACTATGAATTCACAGATAAAATGAGCCTTATCCAGTAACTGCTGCAGCATGAGTGTAACCTGGATAATACTGTAAGTCAGGCACTCACAAAGAAAGGTGTTCAGGACTGTTTTATAGGCAGAGACTCAGCAGATATTGTATGTTCTGCAACAGGTCCAGTCTACTGACTCTCTCTGCTATCAGTGCTTGGGTTTTGAGGCAGCTCCCTAACAGACCATAATATTTCCTGTTATTTATAGGAAAATGTTGCCACATATATTTTTAGTTGTGCCTGAAAGCATATGCATTTCTTACTAAAAGTAGTACAGTGTAAGAGAAAATCTGCATGGGTTGATGGGAAAATCATCAAACCAATGTAGGAGCAACCCTTAGCAGTATGCTCATTATATACACACTGCTATTTCTTTTAATTCTAACACAATCAATAGTGAAGAAGCTAATTTAAGTTACATGGCCTGTGTTTCATAACTGTTTCTCATATTTGATTAGCTTGAAAAAAGTAAATGATTAGACCATTAAATCCAGTCTAGTATTTCTCCTGCCCTCAATGTTGGCTGCATTTTGACTAAACAACTTATCTGATGACATGCTACACATAAAGATTTATTGTTCCCATTGAGTAGTACCCTCGTCATTACATTGGGGAGGGTGGCGGGGTAGAGAAGGAGGTTGGATCAGTGAGCCCAGCTAGGAAGTCCGAAGTTGCCGTAAGGGTTAGTTTTGACTGGGATTTAAAGGTCTGTTAGTTGAAGGTGTTAGCTAGTGCATTTTCCAGCATGTTGTACAACTCCAGGCTTTGACTTGACCAGCTAGCACATGTTAAACGCATACTCTGTGTTGTCTATACTAGACTGTCAGAATGGGTTATTTAGCACATTAGCTAACAATTTCTTATAATGCACCTTTTAATCCTAGCCAAGAAAAATCCTAAAACATTTGTTTCCTGAGTAAACAAAGTGCTACTGCCAGGAGAGGCAGTCCTTGCCTCCCTTCAGGCTCTCCCTCCTCCCCCCCTTTCCTCCCAACCACCAGAGGCGGATCCTCGGAGGAGACAAGGGGGCACTTGGGCTACCTGAATCCTCCCCCCCCTACTGATTTTTGGTCCCAGTTCCCAGCGCCTGGACAGAGAACAGGGTTAGCTTTTCATACTCCAGATGCCAATGAATTCTGGGGCAACAGCCCCACAAAACCCTACATCCAGCACCTGGGCCCAACTCCTCAAGGGTAGGTAGGTGCTTAACTCCCAGTACCTTTGGGGATCTGGGGCCTGACTTGCTCCTTTTTTCCCTTCCAGGCTGCCAAGTACCACTAAAGCACCCACATGGAGCTGGGACCGGCTTTTGTTGGCGGGTGAGGAGAAGCCACATTTATTTTAGAGGTAAGATTGCTTGGGGGGACAGGGGGGAGTGCATAGGTGTTGGAACTAGGGGTGCAGCAGCACCCAGTGGCTTGAAGTGGTTTCCCTTATATCCAGGGTTAACAGTGTGGTTCAGTGGCTATCTGCACCCCCCACTACAAAAATTGTTCCAGCCTCTGGGGGGAGTGACAAGCTCCGCCGGGGTCACCCGCTGGAGCTGAGTTTTTGCAGCCTGGGGCATGACTGACCCTAGTTTCTAGGGTGTAGCAGACCCCGCTACACAGCATCGCTAGCCAGGCAGGTGGCCCCAGTGGGGGGCTTGGTTCAGTCCCAAACCCAACGGACTCCAGCTGTTACGCAGCGCCCCGCCCCAGCTCCCTAAGCAGCGCCTGCCCCCGCCCCTGCCCCTGCAGTAGCCGGCTCCGGCATCCCCGCAGCCCCCACAACCCGTGACCCGGAGCGAGGTGGGGCGGAGCCGCCCCCTCCCCACGCGCGGGAGGCCGCCCGAGCTGGGCTGGCTGCAGGCACGCTGCCCAGAGGCACCTGCGCCCCTGTGCCGGCAGCTCGGCGCTGCCCGCCCTGCCGGGCTCTGCCAGGTGAGCAGCTCTCCCGCCCCGCCCCGGCTCGCCCCGAGTCCCCGCCGCCGGCCGAGCAGACGGAGTCCGGAGATGCGGGCACTGGGCGGCGGCGCCAAACTTTGAGCGATCCCGCTCGGAGCGCAGCGGGCTCGCCTCCCCGCCAGAGCGGCGCATCGCTCCCGGGGCACGGCTCGGCGGAGAGGGGCGCCGCTCGCAGCTGGCTCGGTAAGTCTGGAGGGGGCCGGGGACAGAGCCGCGCTAGGGCTACAGTTGGTAGGAGATTCCTGCCCGGAGCCTTCCTGCCCGTCACCGCCTCCCCCCATTGAGCCTTTTGTTCCCCGCTCGCTCCGGATTTGGCCGTGGCAGGGCGGATTCTCCCCCTTCCTTCCCTCTTCGGGCACGGAGCTGCTCGGCACCAGGAAAGCAGCCCCTGCAGCGACCAAGGCGACCTGTTATTGAGCCCAGGTTTCCCAAGCCAGCAGTAGAGGCTGGCAAAGGAGCAAGGAGGCTTTTTCTTTACACTGGCTACTCCTCAGCCCTTGTAATCCTCAGCACCCATCGCCAGTCGGGGTAACCAGCCCTTGCCCTCTGGATCGCTGCTGGCCTCAACAAAGCCTTTAACTTCAGATGCTGGGTGACTGAAAATGGGCAGGCGAAAGTGACAGACTCAGAGCCTGTCTTTTAATGTCACCTCACCAAATGTAGAAAGAGACACACTAGGGAAGCCTTGGCTTCTAATCTTTAATTTTCCATAGGCACAATCTTACATACACAGTGCATGGCTCTGACTTTAGTATAAATTTTTAGATTCTGTTAATCAGGAGGAGCAAGGTGATCATGAATTAGTAAGGGGGCAGCATCCCTAGAAAAGTGCACAGAGGATTTTTAATTAAGATTAGGGAATGTGGTGCATGTATTAAACATTTTTTTCATCCAAGTTCACCTCAGCCAAATTCCAAGTGCTTTACAAATGCAGGAATATTAATAATAGATTAGATTGTTTATAAATGTAATGTATTTTTCCCTTTTGATTCTCCTTTTCTCATGACATCTCTGAAAATCCTCTACATTCCATCATTCATATAAAGTTACATACAGAGCTCTAAAGGAACTGAGTGATTAGATATTCTAAAAATTATTTATCACAACACACAATGCTGTGTAATAGATACAGTTTGCCAATCAACACACTATCACAACTGAAGAGCTTACAGTGGGAAAGAATAGATGGGACACAGTAGATAGTATAGATCAGAGAGACGTGTAGTTTCTATAGTACTGTGGGAGAGCTTGATTCGTCACCAACTGTGCAAGTTAATATTGTAGAACTTGTCCAGTTTATCTCATTTGTTAACCGAACATTATTTCTTCTCTGCTGGAGTTTCAAACCTCCTCTTCCAACTGTGCTGTGTTAACAAGAAATACTACCTTCAAAAGGAGCAAACTCCACACAGTACAGGAACAAAGAAAAAAAGTGGCAGGATGAAAGCTAATTGCTTTTTTGCTTAGAAGGTGGTGAAAGGAGGCAGGAGAAGGGAAGGAAATAGAGAAAAAAATAGGGAGAAATATTTTGAGCAAAGGAAGGATAAATGATTTGATAGTGTATGTTTTCCTCCAAGGTCTGGCCAATGTCTCACGATGCAAAGGGTTGGAACCCTGCAACCCCATCAAACAGTAATTCTCCTGCTGTTATTTGTAAACATGATCTACTCTATTCTCCAATACATAATTCTGAGATCTTTGGGAGTCTAGCAATATTGGACTCTTATCAAATCTCCACTGTAATAACAGATACAGGTAGTTCTCAGTTATCAGGACACAGTGAGACGGAAAAGGCAGTTCCGAGGTTTTGCGTAGCATTATCTTTGTAGATTATAAAAACATCACCTGTATTTTTCAACAATATTGACAAAAAATATAGTAATTAGGGACCTAGCCCTCCCACCCTTGTTCAGGAAATAGGGTCTCTGAAGTCTTGGGACTGATCATGTAAATAAGAGTTGCAGGATGAAGCCCAATGAGCTGCTGTCTGAATAATGCCATGTAGATCAGGCCTAAATCTCCTTTTGTTGCACAGTATGTAGAGGATAACACAATTCTTACTGGCTTAGCCTGAAGGAAGTTACTTTTCAGCTCATGTAGTCAAACTGTTGCTTTTAATCCACAAGATCCTTCATTCAAATTTTGCTTGTGATATTGTATGGGATGTACCCATAGCACAGAAGGCCTAGTCGCCTGCTGGGGGACAACACTAGTTGTAGAAGCCTGATATAGTGTCCAGACCCCAATAACCAGAAACAACTGCAAATGTAAAGACAATCCAACTAGTGTAGGAAATCCCATCAAAGACATTCAGTTATATGTTAAAACACTTTCCCCCTGTAAATTAAAAAAAAATATGTCTACAGTAAACCTTATGTAAATAAAAGCAATATTAAATCTCAGACATTAATAGCAAGATTATGTCTTTAGGCAGAGACCTGACTGAGGGGTAGGGCATAATTTGCACCATCCCAGGAGTGAAGGAGTAGCCCCAGGAGGCATTGTTTCTCAGAGACATCCCCTATGAAGCACAGTTCCTTCTCTGTTTCCCCCAATTCTGAAAAGGTAGGGGGTGGGAGTGGAAGGAAGAATTAATAATTTGCAATTGGCCTCTACCAGCAGCAAATTCTGACACCCCCACACTGGTTCACTTGTGCTGTCCAGTGCATTGCAGAGTAGAGCCAAGGCTCTGCTTATTCCTCATCCAACACTACCTACCTACTCCAGGAGGAGGAGTAAGCAGGTGCACAGTGCCCACTTGCTCTTTCATCGATCTGGTCAGCTCACACAGAATTAGCTTTACAGCCCTTACTTGTCCTTACTCACTTTGCACAGTATTATAGTGCAAGTTACAAATTAACCCTAAAATGCTTTAAATACAGAGCACCAACATTAAAATGCTTTAAATACAGAGCACTCAGTTATATCCATGCAAGCTTGTCGAAATCATAGGGTTGCATTGGTGTAGCTGAGTAGAATTTGTCTCAATATGTGCAAGGAAGACAACAATATGATTTTGATATCAGTGCCAAAAGTCCCATTATCCTCAAAGGGAGGAGGATGTGACCTGCTGTTCTCTTTCACTGTAGTCAGAAACTTGGTTGGCAACTTCCGCTGAGAAAAATGGTGGTATTCTTCCACAATAAAAGAAACATTACATACTTTTTATTTCTTGGTTTAAATTAGAAGTTAATGGGTTACATAGACAATCCAGAACATTAGTAATGTTTTTCAGCTATTCTGCTTCTTATTGCGGTATGCAGTTGAAGTGGTGTTTGTAGCTGCCTTGTGATACTGGCTTTCTTAAAGAAAAATGTCAGGAATTGGCCCTAATGGTTTAGAGCAGCAAGTTTGTATTTACTAGCTAAGAATATATGAATAAAAACTTGAATATTGAAAATACTTTGAGGAAAGTTTGGAAGATCATTGTGTTTACTTAGGGCTGTATTGATCCACAGATATACAGATCCACTTGTAGAATTCCCATTGGTATCAATGGCAGTTTTGTGCAAAAATCAATAGTGGTTTGGGGTATTAGTTTGTGACAAAGGATGTGTTGCTCAGCAGGATCCAAATCCTTCCTTTGCCCAAGTAAATATACTCCACTGTCTTCAAACTGCATTTGAGCTGTATCTCAAATTTTCAGCAGGAACATAAGAACGGCCATACTGGGTCAGACCAAGGGTCCATCAAGCCCAGTATCTGTCCTCTGAGAGTTGCCAATGGTAGGTGCCCCAAAGGGAATGAACAGACAGATTATCGTCAAGTGATCCATGCCCTGTCACCCAATTCCAGCTTCTGGCAAACAGTTATGTCTGAATAAAGATTAAAGGATTGGGCTTCAAATGAATGAGTGAGAAAGTGTGGATGTACCAAGTGCTATCTTGGCACAGATCATTGGTCCATCTTCTGAAGTCCAATATCTCACCTCTGGTAGTGGCCAATGCCCCCAGCTTCAGAGGAAGGAAATACTGTAACTTTGGGGAAACTTCTTGCTGAACCCAGCCGGTGGCGTTTATGCCCCACAGCCTAACCAAATATCTCTTGTGGTCTTAATTTAGTTATTGTAACTTCAGATGATACTGTCACTTCTTTTGAAACCAGACTTTATTAACTAAAATAAACCCTACTGCTAATTCTACTTAGTTTGTTCTAATTTAACTTTAATTTTTTGTATGTTTCAGATGAAGTCTGCATACACGATCTTTGGTTTACTCCAATTTGCTGTGTGTTTTTGCTGTGTTTCAGAGAAAGCTCCACTGTTTATTTTGGAGTAGTCCAGATAGCTGCAACCATGGGCCCTATAGGAGTACTGGGTGAAGAGAACCGCACAAATGAAGTGAAAATGGAGCTGTACACCAGGCTATACTTGCCAGGCCTCACCACACCACTCAGTGAGCTGGCCTCTGACCCCAAACCAGAACTGAAAGACAGTACCAACCTGGTCGAGGTGCAGATAGTCCTCATCATTGCCTATTGCTTCATCATCCTGCTGGGTGTGATGGGCAATTCCCTGGTGATCCATGTGGTTATTAAGTTCAAGAGCATGCGCACCGTGACTAACTTTTTCATTGCCAACCTGGCTGTAGCTGATCTGCTGGTGAATACCCTGTGCCTGCCCTTCACCTTAGTTTACACACTGTTGGGAGAATGGAAGCTGGGCCCAGTGCTGTGCCACCTGGTGCCTTATGCCCAGGGCCTTGCAGTGCACGTGTCTACTGTCACCTTGACTGTGATTGCCTTGGACCGGCACCGCTGCATTGTCTATCACTTGGAGAGCAAAATCTCCAAGCGAATAAGCTTCCTGATCATTGGAGTGGCCTGGGCTGTCAGTGCGCTACTGGCTAGTCCCCTGGCCATCTTCCGTGAGTACTCTCTGATTGAGATCATTCCTGATTTCAAGATTGTGGTCTGCTCTGAGAAGTGGCCTGGTGAGGGGCAACTCAACTATGGCACCATCTACAGTGTGTCTATGCTCCTGATCCAATACGTTTTGCCTCTGGCAATCATCTCCTATGCCTACACCCGTATCTGGACCAAACTAAAGAACCATATCAGCCCTGGGGCTGGGAATGACAACTACCACCATCGGCGGCGGAAGACCACTAAGATGCTGGTGTGCGTGGTTGTGGTGTTTGCTGTAAGCTGGCTGCCCTTTCACACTTTCCAGCTGGTCAGTGACATTGACAGTAAGGTGTTAGATCTGAAGGAGTACAAGCTAATCTACACAGTGTTTCATGTCATTGCCATGTGCTCAACCTTTGTTAACCCCCTTCTCTATGGCTGGATGAACAACAACTACAGGACAGCCTTCCTCGCAGCCTTCCAATGTGAGCAGCGACTGGATTCCATTCACCCTGAGGTATCAGGAGCATTCAAAGCCAAGAAGAACTTGGAAGCAAAAAAGAATCATTGCACGGGAACCCCTACCAATGTCTAAGAATGTCACGCATAGAAGAAAAAAGGAATACACTCTGGCCAGAGAGAGATCCGTTTTGACAGATGCACTTTTTATACATAGTTTTAATCAAATAAGATGGAAGAAAACCAGCAAGTTAAAGTGTCTGTTCTGTGATTCCAGAGAGAGTTGGTTGCCATCAACCATATACAATTACACAACGTCAAAGAAATATAAAAGATATTTCATTTATGGCTGTCTGTATTGTGGTTGGAAAGAAGTCTCTGTCCCAACCTTTTGCTAAGGCAGCAGTAATGGCAAAGGCAAGGAAAGTGTTTGCCATTCTTGCCCTAAAGAGGATGAATAGATGAATTGTTCCTCAAGAGCCTCAAAACTGGAAGTTGGCAGTGTGGACGTTGTATGCTGCAAATAGGGACTCCTTCAGAAGCTTAAAGCATGCTCTAAGAGTGAGGCTGGGGATCAGTGAAGCTCATACTTTCCATCTCTTCCCCACTGCAACTACTCTGCAAAATGAGGGTTTCCTTAAGGAGAAGATACACCACCATTTTTGCCTCATTTAAGTAATATGAATATTGTTACCATAGAATAATTCCTAAAATCAAACTGCTACTACTAGAGCATTTAGGTCAGGAAAGTTAACGTTTCTACCTAATTTGTAATCTGCTAAAACAAGTGGAGTAATAAATAATTCCTTATGACTCAGCCACAGTTATGCTGGGGAGAAAAATACAAATTTGGGGCCTGATCCTGTATTCACAACATACCTAGAGCTTTCATTTAGCATTAGAGATCGCTAAATAGGCCAGCACACTTAAAAGGGAATTTGGAGCAGGTAGTGAATGCAGACTCAGGTCTTTTGTGAGCACTTCTTAAGTTGAGGGAACCGCTAGTGCTTGAACTTCTAGGCACAGCTCCAGTGTCTGAAGTACCATTAACTCTACGGGTTTTGAATTATTCCTGCTTTATTCCTACATAATAAAGTAGGACAAAATTTGATCCTTTAGAAAGGCTGCTAAATATTAATGTGCTTTTCAGTGTTTGTGGTTTTATGTCACACACATCCTGCCTTGGATCTTTTCCCATCATCAGCCACTATAAGATTAAAAATATCTGAATGAAGTGTAACCTAGTAACAGTATGCTCAGTTTATATATATTAACCAGTGAACTCTGCATGTTATAGTAATAGTTAGTTACATTTCTTTGGCTCAGGTAGAAAACTCGACTCTGTTTACTGTATTGTACATGGCAACGTGCAACTTTTCTGTGTCTTTGTCTAGCCTCATTGAGCTCATTAAAGTTAAAGAGTTCAAGCTAATTTCAACCACTTTTTTCCAAGCTAATTTTGCTGCCTAGCTTGGGGGGGGGAGGGGGGAAAGGAACCCCAACAAACTGTGATACTTTCCACTTCTCAGAGAGATTCTCCATAGCTAAATTTCACTCAAATTCCTTAATTTTTCTATTTTTCATGGTCCTCTAAATTGTTTGTGAACTTTTTTATTATATATGATCTATTTAGTATTTTAGTGTGAGATGTCATTACATCACAGATCTTTATCATGTGGGGAGATTCATCTTTATATATATATATATATATATATACGGCATCCTGCCCTTGTTTCTTACACTGCTGTGAAATCATTCAGATGTATATCTTCACAATCAGAGAAGGAGGGGGCAAGAGAGAGGGACTAAACTGGCGTTTAAGGAAAGGTATCCATTACTTTTACAAAGCTTCACCAAATCAATTTTTGTCTCAGTGATAACAGTGCCCAGAATGTTTGTAGTTAGCCCACGCTGTTTAAAAAAAAGTTACAGGCAAGGAATTACTGGGAGAGTTTACTGAAGTTTCAAACCTATGATGTATAATTATTATTATAGACAGCAGTATAATTCATTTACAGTCAAGTGTGTGAGCTCTTTATGAAAAACACATTAAAATGTTTATCCTGCCCCCAAAAAGCCTTCAGCCCCACAACTCTTTAGATAAATGTTCTGACTCAAATCTCTTGAGCTTTATATATAGACAGTTTTAAAGTAACTATGACTGTGTTGTGCTAAAACTACAGTTGAAGGCCTGATTTTCAGTTACATTATGGCTGCTTTACATCACCTGGTGAAGGGGCCTCAAACTGGGTATAAATTACATTGGCATCCATTTCAAAACACCTTTACCTTACCAGAGAGGTGTAAAGCAGCTGTAGTGTCAATAAGAATCTGCCCCACAATGCTCTGTTCCCATGGGAAGGCTATGCCACAGTTTCTATCAGCCCAATCCTGTTTTCCTGGTGCATCTAAAGCTCCCACTGATGAGTATATGAGGATTTCAGGATCAATCCCTTATCTATTGCAATTTATTCTGGCAGGTCTCTCTGTGTAGATCCAACTGCATCTGCCAAATATGATCGATTTTTACCCTGTACACTTAACTAAGTACATGTTTTTGCTTATCATGTGCTTCATTCATGTCAAATTCAGAAGGGGCATCCTAATCTTTTATTTACTGATGTATTATCTATCTGTGGTACTTCTCTATGGCCCCTATTACTGTAAATCTGAGTATCTCAAATCTTTTAATGTATGTATTCTCACAATACTGCTGTAAAATAGTGAAGTGTTGTTATTCCTATTTTATAGGTGGGGAACTGAGGAAGAGAGCGGTTAAGACCCAGATCTTCAAAAGTACCTAGTTGACTAACTCCCATTGCATTCAGTGGGACTGGGACTAAGGCTTTTTCTACACTACAGCCTTTGTCGGCATATCTTGTGTCATTCGGGTGTGAATATTCCACCCCCCTAAGCGACATAAGTTACTCTGACAAAAGCGCTTGTGTGCACACTGCTATGTCAGCGGGAGAGCTTCTCCTGCCAACACAGCGTTTGCCATTCACGGATGTGATTTTGTTATGCTGATGGGAGAGCTCTCTCCCGTCAGTATAGTGTATTCACCAGATGTGCTGCAGCTGCATCAGTACAGCTGCGCCACTGCACATGTAGACATGCCCTGAGTGACTTGCCAGGGTCACACAAGAAGTCTCTAGTAGAGCAGGAACTTAAACCTGGGTTTCCTAAGTAGTAGAATAGTGCGCTAACCACTGGACAATCCGAGACCAGCATTGTAAATGAGATTGGCATTAATGAGAATTAAACAGTTTTTACCTAGAACTGCAGTCTCCATATCGTTCAGCCAAAATATGAATGAACAGGAAATATGTGTGTGAATTTGAAAAAAATAGTTATGACATTATATGCAATTAAAATAGGGGGTCTAGTTATGCACAAGAGGCTGATTGTACTTTTTCAGATGTGTCATTTTCTGTTGTGCTATAGAGCTGCACAAAAATTACATAGCTGTATAGGGCTGGGGATAAGAATATAGGAACTGAGGGTATGTCTTCACTCAGTGTAAGCCCAGGCTCAGACTCACACTCAAGTCTAACCCCGCTTCTGACTACACACAAAACATGCTGACCGAGGGTCCAAGCTTCCCTGCAGTGTTTGCTCTGCTAGGGTCTTCCGGCGGGGGTGGGGGAAGAAGAGGAGGAGGGCTTTGTCTTTCCCATGCTGCACCTGCTCCCTGCATCACACACACCTTTCAGCTCACAGGGAACGGAGAGGGCAGCTGTTCTGTGCTCTGCGTCCCTGCCTCGGCAGCTGGACACCGCCTCTTTGGTCCTAGTGCTTGCCTGTTTCCTGTACGATGGTGAGTGCCCATGGTAGGGGGGCAGAGCAAGGGGCATGGGATGGGGTTGGGGGAAGAGTGGTGTGGAGAAAAGACAGTGGGATAGGGCAGGGGGAAGAGAAGTAGATATGGGAATGGGAAGCAGGAGCCCAGCCTGTGGTGTGCCCTCTCCAGCAGCCCCAGTAGGGAGGTGGCCGCAGCAGCACAGTGACATAGCAGGCCGTGCCGGAGTGGCTGCCAGCAGTAACGGGCTCCCCCATTAAGCTGGCTTGTCCCCCGCACCCTCAGCACCGGCAGCCCAGCTACCACTCCAGGTGAGGGGAGAGAGTCAGTGAGCCAAGGAAACTGGTCTCAGCGTGCACGTGTCCCCCAACTATAGCAGTCAAACTACACCTATGGGATGTATCTGGAGACGGTCTATAGACTGAAACATCCCTTTCACAATATACCCGGTATGTTGGTTCAGTTTTGAAATGTAACATTTTATGTCCTTGAGATTCTGTGCTACCCCACTGAGCTACTTTAGATGATAACTCTGTTTCTTGTCCTATTTTAGGCCCCTCCACCTCTGTTGGCAGCTGTACTGCCAGAACTCCACCTCTGGTCCCACATACCTTCGTGGACCATTCCAAGAGGAAGCATTTCCTTGATGAAGGTATGGTTGGGAGGGCTGTCAAGCAGGTCCAATATCAGAAGCAGAGGGATGTAAGATTGGTACAATGGCATGCTGAGGGGCTGCAGAAAGGCTGAGGTGCTAGGGAATCTGGTTAGCTTGATTCCATGCTTAAATGGGGATGTCAGAGCCACAGGTTTGAGCCCTGATTAGAAAAATCTTAACGTTGGGTTAAGAATCAGCATAGACGCACAGGCCCAGGTTTTTCTAACCTGCGTGAGCTGACTCGAGTCCCACTAACCCTAGGCTTATATTGCAGTGTAGACATACCCTGATTCTCCATTGGCCTGCGCCTTGTATAGTCATGTCTTCTATGTAAAAGTCTAATCAAATGCAGATATTTCCAATATATTAGTGATTTGCATTAAATTACACTTGGATTAGTAATTCAATGAAAACTGTATTATATCTGTCAAACATGAAAATGAATGCTGCACATACGGATTAGTGTAATCCATTCATTGCTTTATGGACTCAAAAAATTCCCTCAGAGACTTTTACTGTATAAATCCAGACGGTGACCCGCAGGGATGGATTTTGCATTTAGCTACCTGAGTATCAAGCATCACAAAACAAAATACAGACAGAGGCCTAATTCTTTTTTACATTACAGTGGTGTAGCTTAGGAGTAACTGTTGACCTCCATGAAATTACAGTGGTGTAAACCTAATGTAACTGAGAGGGGAAGCAGGCTTCTCTCTCTCTCTAAGGGCCAGATTTTTTAATGGTGTTTAGTCACCTGAAGATGCAGATAGGCAGCTAGGGGGTTTTCAAAAGTGCTTGAAGACCAATCTGCATCTTTAGGCACTTAAATACCTTTAAAAATCAGGCCTTTACTGTCTATTGAAAGGCAAATAAAAAGGATCACATCCATTATAATATTTAGGTCTACCTATAATGAACATTTTAAAGAAGTTAATCAGTTTACAATCAAGCTTATTTTGACGCAATGATATTTTTCACATAGGAGTATTTAGATACACAGTACCCATACAAAGTAATTTAAAAAAGAAAAGTCTTTTAGGAAAAAGGGCTGTTGTGCCCTCCAGTATTATAATTAAGTATCCAAATCTGCTTGGTTTTTTTAATTTTAATTTTTGAAACAAAGTTGGTAGCAATGGACTTGATGCAGAATAGAAGGACTTTTGGCTGTTAGGCACTATATAGTATCACTTTTGGTTGTTAGGCACTATATAGTATCACTTGGCTATTACTGGACAGCTGCATCTGTTTCTTCATGTCAGAAGTCTGTTTTAACTTCGTCTCTTTTGTTTGGTTCTACTTTGGGAAGAGACAAGGTTTTCTGTCCTTTTGAGGTAAAAGCACGCTTCAGTCTGGCAGCTTTGTAAATGTTGTATTTGTCTCCAGATCTGAAAGCCACAGCAAGTCCACAAAATGGCAAGTATCAGAGGGGTAGCCGTGTTAGTCTGGATCTGTAAAAAGCAACAGGGAGTCCTGTGGCACCTTTAAGACTAACAGATGTATTGGAGCATAAGCTTTCGTGGGTGAATACCCACTTTGTCAGACTCATGGGACACTTCGAAGTGGGTATTCAGCCATGAAAGCTTATGCTCCAATACATCTGTTAATCTTAAAGGTGCCACAGGACTCTGTGTTGCTTTCCACAAAGTGGGTTTCTGAGCTGCATTTCCTGTCAGTAGATTTAGCACATGACATTTTCAAAGCTCGGTACACACATTAATGAATTGATACCTGGGCCAGGTTGCTCTATGATTGCCCATTTTAAAGATGGGAAAACTGAGGCAGAGAGCTACAGAAAGTCACATGGTGAGCCAGTAGGAGAGATGCATTAGAATTTGAGACTCCCATTTCTGTGCTCATTCTGCTGGACCATGCTACCTACCTACTTCAGTAGTGTCTATGTTGGACTGCTCAAGGTTGGTATTAAAATTC